CCGGCGACGATCTATTGTGAAAACTTAAAGTATTTCGTTTTTTCCGAGTCCTCGGTGGAAAACATTAATTACGTTTATGCGCGCGGGGGCACGTCCGCGTCGTATCGGTCCGTCAACGTCAACCCACGAAAACGTATACACCAGAGGTTCCCAAACTTTTTTTTCCCGTAGACCACGTGCCAATTTTTTCCATTTTCGTAGACCCCTAAAGTTAAATTTTTACAAGTTCATGTTGGTGTTTTTTCATAACTTACACGGAACTGCTCACCTGAATAGGCTTTACCATGAAGTGCATTTTATTTAAATAAAAAACGTGTTAGTTTTAATAATAACTTTATTTCTTTAATAACGAAAACATTCAAATAATTTTTTTAGTAATTAAAATTATAAGAATTGCAAATTAAATGTAATAACATAGAAAAAAAATTAAGATTGATATTAAAAAAATACATATATCTTTAATGGGAAGAATGAGCCTGATGCTTTGATAATAAATTTTTAATATTTGGCTTCAAATTAGTCAGGTTTAACCTCAAATTTCTTCTATCAGTGATTTCCAATCTATTTCTTTTTTTTGATAGAAGATTGACAACTGTGCTAAAACGCCTTTTCACGCAGTATGATGACAGAAAATCGATCAAAAACTTTCTTGCGATACTCCATAAAGCAGGATGAGTAACAGGTATGTCTCTCTGAAGCCATAACTGCTGATACCTATTTCTAAATTGTACCTTAAGTGTATCGTTAGTACTTATTCCGATCAGTTCTTCTAGTAATTTCTTCTCGCACACATTTTTGACTTATAACTCACGTGAGTGCATATGATGTATTCCCCGATTTTCTTTTTCGTTGATATAAACTCCTTACAGGTGAGAATCGACCCCAGGGGGTCGATACACACCATTTTGAGAACCTGTGGTATACACGAACAGGCGAAAAATTGTTTTCCGACGTGCACAGTTCTCCGATTTACGTCGCGTATTGTTATCAGCTTCAAAATATTATACCGTCGGAGTCGTTGGTATTGCAACGTTATTGTCGCACTTAATTCGTACGTGTATTTTATGTACAACGTAATTTACATAAAATAGTTCTCGCAACAGGCGCATATTATATGGAACGCAACTGAGTGTGCAGTGTGCTATTGGAATGATTTTTGTGAAAAATTCATAATACGGTTGCGGTGATCGGATCCCAAACATTATACGTTACGCGATCACAGAAATCAGAACTACAAAACACAAATTATCAATAATTTCATTATACAACTGTTAATATTATATGGGTGTGTGTATTGTAACCAATTTTTAGTGTTCGTGAATGTTTTAGACAATATACTTCTCTACTAGATCATCCAGATTTCTTGGAGACTTACGGCTATGGTTATAGTTTTTCACATACACGGAACAAATACGGAGTTTTCGTATGCTTATAAAATATTAAATAAGTGTCAGTGTAATTTAAACAATAGATTTACCTAGCAGTATACACTATCTAATGCCTATGTGATTGTTTACCATACAAAACAAAGGGTTGCATGACGAATAAAAGTCTATAACGGTTAAGAATCGAGGGGTGTTCGATGACTACATATAATCTAAAATAGGTACGGCTATTAATTGAAAACAACTCAAGTGAAATAAATTTCCCGTTTTATTATTTTTATTTGTAGTATGAATACCTAATAGCAGGGTCGGTACTAAAAAGGGCTCCGTATGCATATCTTTAGAAGGGCTTAAAAAATACAATGATGAAAAAGTGCTTATGATATGTACAAAATATTATAATTTTTTAATGGTACCTTATTTAAAAACAAACAATTTAATTAACTACATGGTTAATGTAATTATTTATAATACTATATTGTTGTATAAATAATATCTTATAATAAACAACTTAATATTTTATTTTATTTTTTTAATGCTATATTAGTTGTAGAATTGATTTTTGTTATAACAGTAACTTTTTTAGTTCACAAAATCACACCATTAATTCAAATTATATAAAAAAAAAATGTATCATAACAAAATAGCAATTATTATAATTATTATGATGATATGTAAATCTTTAGAAATGGGAGCCCCTCAACCCAATAATGGCCGTGGGCTCAGGACGCGTTCGTGGTCTGACCAGGCTGACACTGCCTGCTAGTAAATTAAAAATATTAAAAGCAATATTATTATAGATACTTTTGTCCCACGTTTCAATAAAGAATATTACATTCCTATACTCGTATACCTATTATTGTACACGGGATAAAAATGAAAAAAATTTAAAAAAATTCATCATAACCCATAATACCCTTGGTTTCCGTGAGACTCGGTTAAATACGCGATTGATCAGGACAGGGATCGCGGTTGAAAAAATGTGGATACGCTCTATTTCCATTGCGTTATTATCCTCGACGATGATGAACACAACTAAAACAGCAGCTGATTGTGCATAACGATCCTTGGAAAATGTTTAAAAATATGCGATTCAATTTTCCGAAATCAACACAGTACGTACATCGGTAATAGTATGTTAAATGCGCTAATAATGTGTGAAAAACGTATTAACGCGTCACCGAAATTTTGTACGGCGGTGATTCGGGCAAATACGACACACACGCGTAGCTACCGAACTTGTGGAGTTGGTTGAAATTTCACACATCAATAGATGCTATCAATAGACGGGTTTTATAGGGTTTTAAACTTATAACGCGTGTGCATGGGGTGAGGGCAAGTACCCTTTATTTCCGCTGCACGAGGACGTATGGAACACGTCGATTTGCTTCCGAAAAAAAAAAAAAATTAATAATAATAAGAGTAGGTAATAACTACTCAAAATAAGGCGAGCAATAATACGCCTGCTTTCATGTCGATACCGATGTTTAAAAAATGTTTGATTTCGATTACTTTTTGTTCGCCCGTCCATTGAGTCGATGCGGAAAAAAAAAGCGTTTTTGATAAAAACAATGGCCTGTTTGCTTCTTTTTTTTACCCTTTTTGCTCTTTCTTATGACGAATAAGAATATTTAATAAAGGATTTCGACAAATAATTTTATTTTTTTACAGTTGGATTAAATTAAACATTAATTTAATACGATAAAGTAACCAATTTTGCAGCGTTTCATTATTTGTTTAGAGATCGTTTTTGCTGTACATTGTTGTACAAATCTACGCACGTATAATTTTACGACTAAATTACAATAATAACTTGTTTGTCGTTCGTATAAAAGAACCCGGTGAGTTGTATTTATTTTTATTTTTTTATAATGTTAATTTCAAGTATTCATAACCAATGTTGTATATTTTTAAACACGCTAAAGAACGAATAAAGAAATTATTAAAAAGAAATAAAAAGTATTCCGTTTATTACAATATTAATTCTCATTCTGTGAATACCATTTTATTTTTATTCTTATGGTATTATTATACTATTATCATTATGTATTATTTTAAGTATAATTTATTTTTCATTCCACTAATTGTAGTAATTATCCTTCACGGTAGCAATCGTTTTTAGATTTAGTAAATAAATATCCGGTAATTTCTTACAAACAGCGTTTCAAGAAATTAATAAATAAACTTCTATACACACTTGCTGAACTACGAAAATATAAACTGAATATATAAAGAATATAATAAATTAATATAGTATAAAGAATATAATAAAGAAATGTATGTTATGTAAAATAATTATTTATTACAGACGTACAACAAAAATAAACTATAAGAGGAGGATGATGTCACTAGCTCTTCCTACGGGTCCGTCCACGATATAATCAATTACTTATTATTACTTAGAATTATTAATTCTTCCCTGTGTTTTTTATTCGCACAGAATCGACTTATTTAAAACAAATTATTATTTATTTAATGTTTTGTGTTATTTAAATTAAATGAAAATGTACCTACTATCAGTGTAACGTTTCTCGGAGGGATTGTGAACATTTTTTTTATATACATGCAATCCTTATTTTACAATTTTATAAAAATTTTATTTATATTAAAAGTTTTATTATTTAAAATACCTTACTAAAAATAAAAATAAATATTTTGTACTTTCAATGATGTTACATCAAAATTTAAAATGAAAAAGTTTTATTATTTAAAATACCTTACTAAAAAATAAAAATAAATAATTTGTACTTTTCATGATGCAACATTTAAATTTAAAATGAAAAATGATTTAAAGGTAAATTTGATTATGCATATAAAAATTTAAAAATAATCTCATTAGGTTAAAACTGTTGTGCATTTAAATACCCTAATAACCATATCCAACAATTAACCTGTAAATCATATACCATATAATCACCATTCTATCCCAGCTAAAAAAATTTAATAAATAAACCTATTACAACAAAAAAATTTTAATTTCATTTTAACCAAAGGTAAATCAATTATATTATTTTGATACATAAAAGATATAATTGAACTATATAAATAAGATACCAACCAAAGTTAAAATTAAAATCTTTTACATAAAGCCTTTACTATTGTAAACCCTATAAGAAAATACTTCACTGGTTCAAGGAATCAATTATTAGTTTCTTCTAAGTATTAGTATTTAACATTACATATTTTCAAAATGTTAATTTTTATACAATTTAAACTGCTACACATGCAATCATTTATCTTTTATTTTTCTAATATATCTTATATTAAGTTATATTTTCAAATATCAGATTCATCATTCAAAATGACCCAAATATTCTCCAGACATCTTATAATTTTGTATCTAGTTAGTATCTTACAAAAAAGTATAATAATTTATATATTAGTAAAAATATTCAACAAAAGTTCATACATAAATAATTTTACTGCAAACAAAAATAGTCACAACCAATTATATGATTTTAATAATAAATCTATTTTTAGTCACTGAAATTATCCTATTTGAATTTAATAAAAATGTATATACTATGCATTTGTGTTTTTTATAAACATATAACCTAATCTCAAATATATAAAATGTAGAAAAGGTACTTACTATAAATAAATAAAAAGGCTAAATATTTACGCTTAATATTTATTAAACAAACATATAAATAAATGCACTGTTTGTGTAAACCTAATCTTACAAGTAAGCATAGGAATTAAAAGTATTGAATACATTTTTTGAAAAAAGTTACGCTCCTTTTCTTTTTTGAGTACTAATGTATAAAACATTGTTACCACGAATAAAAGAGTCTCCGAATTTGTTTTTAAGTTCTCCATTTATATATTCTTCTGTTTGCTCGAGAGCTATGTTCATGTAACCATCAATGCAGGCCATAACACCTATTCAGTTGGAATAAAAACCTATGGTTCTCAATCATATTCTAGACATTGAAGTGTAATACGGTAGTGTTGGAAGGAATAGCTTACCTCGGTAATCGACGCCACTGTTCAACTTCACTACAACTGGACGACCATGGATCTGTTGTATGAACTGTGTCAACGCTTCTTTGCGACTCATTTTGATAATTTAAAAGTTCTAAACAAATAATAATAATTACTTTATGCAGACCGTTATTTGATCATTACACCGACATGTTAAATGGTTCGTACCCGAATGAAGTAGAACGGATCAAATGTAAATGTTGTAAGAGATTTCGATCGACTTCAATAACGATTTTATGAATCAATTTAGTAGTAATGAAAAAAAACGCCGTGTAGCCGTTACCGCAAACTATTTGTGTTCGGCGTACAGGACGTGATATCTCTTATCAGTATTTTTGATATTTTGTCATTAAAACGAACAACAGTGTAGGCAACGGTTTGATGTTGTACGGTTATAAAACACAACATTGTACAATAATTATTTCAAAAAACTGTATAATCATATTGTTCTGTGGTATAATGCTCAAAAGTATTTTAGCTAGTTTTAGTGCGTGCAGTCACGTTGTAGTTGCATTTCATTCGAGTTGCAGTTGCTTTGGTGAGAACAAGCTTTAATCCTCGATTCTACGTGTAGTCAGGGGCGCAGGAAGATTTGCTAGCGCCCCTGGAAAACTTAGAAAAAAATACCTTTTCACCAATTGAAAATTTGATGCAATGATATTTTTTTAACCATTAATTTTACCATCTTTTTATTTTTAAGAATATAACTTTTATTAATAAGTTATTATTAAAGTTTAAATTTTAAACTTTAAAAATTTGCTTTTTTCGCTCTAGACTGGCGAATGCATTGATAATTTTTTCATATGAAATTTTTTATGTGAATTCCCTTGCGCTATTTTCATAATTATATTATTAAATTTACACGTAGTGTATATAATTAGACAAAGTCTATATTTCAAAAAGAATAATGGAAAAATTTTGTTTTGAAGGTACAATAAAATACGACTTTTGCACAATTTTGCGCCTCTCTGCAATTCGCTCCCCTGGCATACTCAAAATATAGTTATTGCTAATTGCCACTTATTATAACCTACCTAGACTTAGTCAGTGGGATTATTTTTCTTGAATTAAAAATAGTCACAAAATTAATTACTTGTTTTAACCAGGTATGAATAGTAAGAATCATAAAAAGAATAAATTTGAAAGATAAAATTCAACCCTACAATTAACTACAATTACGATGACGCAACGGTGTCGCACGTCAAAATAACGCACGTGCATACCAGAACTTAATAATCATGTTTCACAAAAAAAATCGGTTACAATGCGATTTCCAACATTTAAATATCAATAAAAAAAAAAGTTGGGACCTAAGTGAAGTGTTCTGAATTTTTGATAGTATTAATGTGTCATAATATTAGAATTATATTAAATCGTAGATTCATTAGTTCTAGTTAACTATACCTACTATATGGTACTTATTATATCTAGAACAAAGTTTCTTCTTTCACTTTTTTTTTTAGCTTGTCGACCTATTAAGAGCCATCGCTGATATAAAAAACCTCTCAATATTTCTCTTTCATATGTATCGAAAAATTTCGAGTTTTATTTTTTATTTTTAATGTCCTGAGCTATCTATCCATCGGATCCTTAGTCTTTCTATTTATTTTGTTAACTGGCTATCTGCTCTCTAGACATGAACAAACTATTATAGACGTTTTTGCTTATTTTTATGTGGTATAATATTTTGCCTGTTATATAAGTCCTATAGATATCGACTTTTTTTTTTCAAACAAAAGTTTGCCGGAGGAAACGTTACATTGTATCTTAGTATTTTCAGTATTTATAATTATGGAAATCTGTTGCTTACACATATAAAATAATATATTTAAGCAAGTATATAGTATGTACAGTAGTAATAAACCACTGTAACGCTTGCGGTTGTTAATAAATAAATACATAAATACGAGTAGTTGCTTTTCGTTGACGTTTATGTATTGCTGTTTTATTGCAAAAATTCTTTTTCGAAATAACAATATTTTACGTCACCTTACGTAATAGTAAAGTTTTTCACATCACTACACTTCCCAATACTGATAAAAGGAAAAGAAAATTTCAATTTCAACACTGTAAATTTTCAGCACATTTTTTTTTTACCAGTTAAAAATCTAATAACAATTTATTTATTTTTTTCAAAAAAACTAACAGTTTTTATACTTGCGAACAACTATTCGAAAAATAGGAAAGGTAATATATATATACTAGCTGATCCGACAAACGTTGTTTTATCATTATTTTGTTTTATTATTTTGAAAAAAATAACTAATTTAATAATAAGTGTGTAAGGATGTGGTATATAAGTGAAAGAGTTATGGAGTGCTGTGAACGGTGACGAAATATAAAAATGAAAAAACATCAAACATTTATTTTTTAATAATTTATTAAAATTGATCCTTTAAAATTTTATATGTCGCTAATTATGACAATATTAGTAAAAAACAATATTAATCTTAATACATAGAGTACAATATTTTTGACTATCCCATCTTTCGCCTACAAAAATAAACTAGATGGTTCGAGAGCACGCCACGTATAATTGTCCGTGTAAAAAAACATGATGTGCTCAAATCTAAGCCAAAGACAGACATCGTTTGGCCTTGATACTTGTTGATAGTCATTGCAAATGTCAATCTAATTGGAAATTGAAGGAGTTTAAATTGTATTAGCACATCTGTGAGTATGATAGGGATTCACGGTAATAATCTATTTTCATCTCGGAATTTGCCATTTAAAATTATGGCTTTGATAACATTTTTCATTAGTTTTTTAATGGCTAATCGCGTGCCGTTGCATAACTGTGGTGGGTTCAAATTACGAAGAAAAATAACCGGAGATCCAACCTTCAGTTGTAAATGATATGGTGGCTTGTTTGGTAAATCCAATGAGTTTAAAAACTGTTGGATAATTTACAGCTTCAGTATACTGAAGCTATAGCATTTGTATGACACCAAGTCTCTTGGTAACAAATGTTGTATCTTGAGATTCAATTCGTTGACGTCTATATTTTTTACTGCTAAAATTGCTCTTTCTGCCAGCTACTCATGATTTGTGTATTGTCTATGTACATTGGGAAATATCTGGTCAATGAGAGCATCTTGCAAATCGATGATTGTACAGAAATCGATTGGTAATTCTATACATCCCTTTCATCTGTAGTAAATTTTCCGTCATCGATATCTAACAATTCTTTTGAGAATCTTCCGCACGTAGCTTTTTTTGATTGAATCGCAAGTATCGAAATCGTTCGCTCTCTATCTTTGCATACATGTTGACTATGAATTGTTGATAATGCTCACGACATCGTAGAATAACGTTGTCCTAATCGCGTTTAATCATCAACCGATATGCATAATAATTCTTCGAACTAATATTCTTGTTTGTTTTAGCACCTGTTGCGGGATCTTGTTGTTTAATATTTATGAAATACCTGTCATTTAATAAAATTAATAGTTATTAAATAGTTTTTAATAATTTTTTAATAGTTTCATTTAATAATTCATTTTAAACTGCGCAATTATCGACCTGGTCAAAAATTATTAAATTACACTACGATTTATTAAACAATAGCACTTTTTAAGCAATTTTTTTCCATAAAAACCTTCTCATGGCAATTACGAATAATTAAAAAAAAATTTGAGCCAAAATCGGTCCTGCCATTCTCAATTAATGAAATGTTATACATTTTTTTATATACATATACATAAATTGCTGTTAGAGGGGTAAAAATCAATGCTCGAATGATTCAAATATTAACCGTATAAATTATGCTATTATATAACAATAGATGTATGGTATTTCAACTTGAATAATATTACAATCGAGAGCACATAATATTATGTTCAAGACTGAACGTGACCCAAATTACAATATAGAATATATTGTGCAGAAATTAGAAACGCAATTACGTAGGGGTATTTAATAATACACAAGTGTTCTGAAAGCTTTATCTTAATTGAGCCTACTTGTTTTCGTGCATTAAAAATACCTATTTTTTAAAAACGCTCATTCAGATTATAATCATAATAATATAATGTAAGTTCGCGAGAAAAAAATCTACTGTACATCATAAGGAGCTGTGTTCGATCACATTTTAATATTTAAAACTGTTAAAAATAGACAATTATTATTTATTATTATATCTGTATTTATACTATTATAAAGTAAAAAATGCAAATAGAAATCATTTTTCTATCGAATAACGTTTAGAAAAAAAAAATAAATAAATAAATTATAACATGAATAACTCTAGAATGTAGACGACTAAAATTTTAAAATTGATACATTTACATTACATTCCCAACACACGCTGTGTTTAAAGTGTATGCCGCTGTTTTTAAGACTGCATAAAATGAATGTTACGCATATTTTAGTGATTTATTATTTGTTAAGTAAACAATGTGTTACACGAAAAACAAATAGGTGCGTAAGCCAACTTGAAATGTTTAACGAAGGTATTATGCACGAGAACATCATATAATATGATGGTACCTACTTATTTAAATACACGTCCATAATCCGATTGCTGTACAACAATCACTGAAGCAATTTCGATTGCATCGAGTCATATTATTAAATACGTTGAAATTAAAACCCGAGTCGTATTAACCGTTTCATATATTACACGATACCGAGAAATATTAATAAAAATGGAATTATACAATCGTTCGTTTTCTGTTGACGGCTCTCTTCGCGGGACTATCTCATATTATATTAGACGGTGACGCCCTCTTGTAAACAGTTCGATTATGCAAACGAGGTGTAACTTATATTTTACCATCGCTGTGAACACAACTCTTGTAGCATAAGTTTGAGGCGTGTTGATAAATATTTATGTATATTTTATTACCTAAAAACGAATCTGTTACAACAGTGTTGATAAAGAAATTCTTTCAATGTTTCAGGCTCATTAACAAATTTATTCTTCCGTTCATTAATGTTTACCGATTAAAATAATGTTTCAGGACTTATTTTGTATGAACTCCATTTGGAGCTTCGATAATTCAGATGATTGATGTAACGGTTCATGATTGAAACTAAAATTCTTTTCGATTCAATCTGAGTTCAAGTTATTTTTATTCCCATGATACCGATGACTACTAACGAATACTCGTTTGAATTCAAATGTGTCCAATTCGCTATAAAACAGCTTTGCTATATCCAACAACAATTCATATGGACAAGAACGCTGAAAGTCAATATCACAAACCCCTGTTTTACCTACGGACAATCCTTTATTGATTGTTCACGCATGAGATCGGTAGAAAATGTAAATGTGTATACATTTGACCAAATGCAATCGATATTGTC